GCTCCTGAAGTTTTAAGAGGTAAACCTTATACTTTAGCTAGTGATATATATAGTTTTTCTATGATTATGTGGGAATTTATATCAGGAATTCCTCCATTTAATAATGAATCTCATAATCTTCAACTTGGTTTAGATATTTGTAAAGGTAAACGTCCTATAATTATTGAAAATATTCCACAATGTTATATAAATTTGATGAAAAAATGTTGGGATATAGATCCATTAAAAAGACCATCTGCATTAGAAATTAAGGAGATTATTGATAATTGGATTAATAATATTCAAAATTTAAATTTTGATAAGAAATTAAAAAATGATATTATAGATTTTTATAAAGCAGATAGAGATTTAAAGCAAAATCAAAATAATAATTTAAATGATATGAAAGATCATTCACAAGCTTTTTATACAAGTCGTTTACTTGATTTTACTGAAAAATTAAATGAAATTTTGGATCATGAAATTAAAACTTTAGAAATAAGTCAAAGTATTGGTAATTATTATGATATTTATCAATTTAAATTTTATTAATTACTTTAATATTAATTTATATTTCAATTTAATAGAAGATTTAGTTATTACAAATAATGAATAAGTAAGTAATTTAAGTATAAAGTTGAATATATATATTTAATTTATTTTTATAATAGATGAAAATAATTAAATTAAAATATATTATAAATAAATTAAATTTATTTTTTCTTTATAACTATATTATACTATTATAATTTTTATGGAATATTTATTTAGTAACACTGTATATAGAACAAATATTATAAAAAATACAGTTTGTAATTACTCAAATAAACTTTTATATAAATTAAATTATTAATGCTTTTTGAATTGATTTGTAATATTAAATTAATTATAAAATAAAAATAAATCAAAAATTTTAAAATAATATTAATTTATTTATTAGTTAGAAATTATTTTGCATTCTTACTAGTATTATATACTTGATAATATGTAATACAATTTTTATTATGCATTTATTTAAATAAATTTTTTAAAAATTAGCACTCATAAACTATTCAATTCGGGTATGGTATGATTTGCTTGAACAGTACAGTACGATGTTGCGGATCAGTATTTTTTTCGCAAAATTTGAACTGTACTGGTAGTATATATAGAGCTTTAATTATAGAACCAGTACAGTACGGTATGGCATGATCTTTCGTAATATACGTTGATAATACAGTGAATTACTATAAAGTTTGTAATGTTTTAAGATTAAAATTTTTAACCGATTTAAAAAATTGATTATTGATTATATTCCATAATAATAGTACTAGGTAACAGGAGTTTAAACATATCACAGAAAAAATTTTTATTATTTAATTTAAGGGAAGGGTAACCACATCTGGTAATCTGATCATATGAAAATATATCTTACTCATCGATCACGCGTACGGACAGACGGACATTGCATCAAAATGAGTCTAATTGAAGATGTCTAAAAGCGTAGCTGAGGAACTGTTTTGTATCCAGAGCTAAAGAATTTTAAAATATAATTATTAATGCAATAAGAAAAGAAAGAAAAAAAAAGTCTAATTGACAAATCACGTGCCGGTCAGACCTTAACTTTTAAGTAAAAAATTAAAACAAAACTTAAGTTCATTTTTATTAGACCGGACTGATCGCACAAAAAGTAACCATGAATCGCAAGCAACGTAGAAAACAAATAGAAGCTGAAGTAAAGATTGGTCATCTTCTATTTATAAAATCGATCAAGGTGAAAAAAAAATCTGATGGATGGATCGTTTTGGTCGCATTTCAATTTTAGGTCAGTTTAGTCTGATCTAAAATGAACATGACTTTAAATTCATACATAATTAATGTTCGAGTGAAGGTAGATCTAGCGAACAAATTTTCACTCCTAAAGACGTTCAAGGTATTCGTGAAGCTACTCAAAAATACTGACATAAAAGACTTAATTTGTAAAATAGAATTTACAGCTAAAACCTTTTTTGTTTACAGTATATACAGTATATATATATTTACATAAAGATGGTTCATCGATGATATGCAAATATGTATTGGTTATCGTCACGGATAAATCAGTTTATATATTTGGATTAAGAAATACACCCACAGGGATAGTTTTCCTTCTGAGGTTTACTAATTTACCCCCACGCTATGATTGCCGGTTATAATTGAGATTAGTATTAGGGTTAGGGTTAGGTGTTAGGTGATTTGTCACCGGCGTGACACTGGTTTTATAAATAAACATAATCGATTATACCAGCCAATCATAGCGTGAGGGGTAAATTAGTAGACCCGTCATCTGATTGATACGGAGTTAAACGAAATCGAGAAAAAGCAAGAAAATTAGAATTTAAAAAGGGCGGCGAAGATATAGGATCTAATACATTTAAAAAACTCCTGGACAAACTCAACGATATTTGATGTATTCCTACAAGAACTTGGTAGTCTACCTAGCGTTGAATATCTATCTACATATTAAAATTAAAAACGTCACATTGCTTATTTATCAAAAATAGAAACACCATCACATTTTTTTTATATCAAAATAATTTAACACCTCCTTGAAGGAAATCCACCAAACTTTAAAGCTCAATTCTATAATGTCGTAAAAATAGTTAATCGTTTTTAGTCTATATATTAAACCCGGTCCATTAAAAAGCATAAAGCAACAAACTACTAAATGATAGAAACGTCTAATCTATATTTAACCGGTTCCAAATAAAGTTAAACAACGTGCCACCAGCTTTTGGCATTTAAACGTGTAAAAAAAAAAAAAACTTGAAAAAATGAATCCTAGTGAAATCAACATAAATAGAATTATCATTCATTCATGCATTAAAACAACGAAGTCGATTCCTCCTACATAATTATTATTAGTACATCACATAAAATCCATAAAATATAAATTGAAAAAAATTATGTTACTAGTATATTGTTGTAAGGAAGAACAATTATTTATCTATAAAAAAAAAATGCATACAAAATCTCCCAAATGAAAATTCTTATTTTAGTAATATAAACGGAGGATAAAAAAAAAAATTATTTTTCTCGACTCGCATCACGTACTCTTCAATCAGCAGATCTAGAGCCACATCATTTGAAACCAATCTCTCGATGTCGTTAAAATAAGTCTGAGACTTGCTCGATTTAAAGAAAATGGCATGTCGTACTAGTTTACAAGAGAAGATATGAAGGCACTGTAAGTGAGCTTCAAACCAACTTTAGCTGATAATAATGTTATTTATATCTGATGTTGAAGCGCATTGTATCAATAATCCTCTCAGTGAACCTGAAATTTAACAATTTCAAATTGTTAGATACCAACTTTCCGGAAGAATTTTTAAAAAAAAAATACGTTAATATTACCAGATTTATGCTTAAAAATGGAAATTTAAAAAGATATTTATGACTAATTGCGTCATTTTATAAATAATACTTTCAAGTGTTGAATTTGATGGTGTGTGGTTATAAAAAAAAAGGATCACTTATAGGAATTACCTTTATTAATTTCTATATAGGAAAACAAAAAAAAAAAATAAAATAAAATAAAAATTTCATTTCAGCGTTATTATGGGAATGTCACTAGGTAAATAAATAAACACATCTATATTTCTTCCTATAAAAGAACATTTTTTTTTTTATTTTTTACGATTTTAACGGTTTAAATTCTCTTAAGAAGATAAAACATATTTCGTTCTAACGTGTATTTTTAAACATTATGTAGTTCTCTGTTTCGAAGATTTCAAATTATTTTAGAATTTTTCATTTCTGATTTTATATAAAAGAAGTATTGGAGATAGATTGTCCAATTAAAATTTTAAATACTTCTCCTTTAAGGGAAGTTAATTTAGTTTCATGTGGTTATTATTCCACAAAGTGATCTAAAAATGATCTTTTATTCTGAAAATTAACTATTACATTACAGTACATCTTATGCTTCAAGCATTTTGAAACTGTCCAAACAGTCCTACAATTAAGTCCTAATTTCTCAGAACTATGTCTTACAGCACGATAAGGCTATCCCAGAGACAGTTATATGTCCCACAATATGTTCCGTTCCAAATGTCCTATCTGTGATAAAGTTTGTTCCACAGTCAATCATACCCAAAATTTACCAAAGAATTTAAACCAACGCGAATTCGTCTTAGGTTTCAATCCAATCTCTGATACAAAAATTCAACTATAGGATCCCTCAACCACCATAATAAAATAATGTGCATGAAATTATGCAAAAGTAAACTTTTCTTTCTGATTCTTCCCGCAAATAGTATCTTTCATTTATTCGTTAATCCAGCAAAATTAATTGTTTGTTGAAGCTCTTCTTCTTTCGATCCCAACTGTGGTAAAATTATCGCTTTCTGTCAAGCGTTGAGGATCACGTGGCATATTCGTGTCGGTATCCTTCTGCTTCAGATGCATTGGGCTTGAAGCTTACCGAATTATTTATCAAATTTTTAGCTACTTTTTTTTTTATTTTTATTTTTATTTTATTTTCTTCATAAATTTATAGCACGTTCTATGCTATCTTATTTCGAACTTTTTAAAGATAGATTTAAGCCATTAGGTCTTGTACGCATGATATGTTATGAAAGAAAATTTTTTTTTTAAATTATTTCAGTAAACAAGAATTCTTTTGTCATTTCCAATGTATTAAAAAAATATAGACCTTTTTTCATCAGTTTGATTATACTTGGCGTTAGGGATGAGAAAAAAAATTAGAAAAAATCCAGCCCATCATTTTTATATCTAAAATTCAGCCTTATGATGTCCTATTTTTAGGGATGAATTAATTTTTACCATTTATCATTTACAAATTAAAAAGGAAATGTAAAAGAAAATGTAGTTTCTTTTTGATTTACAAAAATTAATTGAAATAAAAAAACCAAAAGTTAATTTTCTCATTTATTTAATTAATCAAAAAAAATTAGTATTTGCCGGTATCATATTTAAATCATGCGAATTAAATTTTAATTTACACATTCTTTTTTTTTTCGCTCCAGAAAAAAAATATTCTTTAAATTTCATCTTTATAAATAACCTTATGGATATATATATACAAGATGACAATTCTCATTTATGTTGAGCCAATGAATATTAAAATCCCGTCAAAAGATAAAATTGAAACATAGGGCTTTGAAATAATAATGTTAATAGAAAAGACACAATCATTCACCGATTGAAAAAAGAAATACAACAAAAATTTCATTTAAAGGAAGTGTTGGATCGTTTATAACAGTTGCACGAAGGTCGGGTTAAATTTCTAGAGCGTCAATGTCTTCAAGTAAGAAATATATGTTTTTTTATAATTATTTTAAATGAAATTTTATTTAGTTGGGTATTTTTTAATTTATATAGATTTTTTCATGTTGTTATATCTATAAATCATTATTAAACATCAATCAAGCAGAGATATGCAGAAGTACACATGGATCAATTTTCTCTTAAACCCTACCTCAGTATTTTAGTTTGCGGAGAAAAACCAAATCCAATAAGTCGAAACCTTTCGATTTCGATGAGCCTGTCGAAATCTCCGAGTTTTGCCTGGCAACTTTATTTGCACCAATAGCATTTCACAAAAAAATTAGTATATAACCCGAAATGTCTGTCATTTTATTCTGTCTTGCCAAAGGAAATACGACTGCGAACGCTTTCTCTGTTAAGATTAGTAGGGATGAGACTATTAGTGAACTAAAGAAATCTATCAAGGCGGAAAAGGCAGACAAGCTCAAGTTATAAAAAGTAGAAATCATAATGATCAGTTGAGCAATCTTACACTCAGGACCAAAACGAACTTTATGCAATAAAAAAGATTTCGAAATACTTTCCAGACTCACCAGCCGAAGAATGTATTCATGTCTTAGTTGAACCACCCGTACTAGATATTGGAATTAAGGGAGTAACTCCTCGTTGCAGGTATTACTTATCTAGTCTGCCATTGTTGCGTATAAATTTTATATTTTGAATAGATCCCCCGGCTGAAATTTTTAGGTTATGAAAATAAACCGCAACAAAAATGTCATGATCAAACTACTGTCTGGAAAAAAAAGATTTTTACTAATCAAACTCTTGCATTGCAGATTTTGATGTTGTTGTTAGCCCGAGACGAGCTTAATTATTGAATATCGTATTTGCCGTGTACAAGATACCTGCTTTGGAAAATCCGGCTGTAGTATTCAACTTCATGAATTATAGGGAAGATATATGATTCATCATTTCGAGAGATGTTGCAACTGCTAGTATCAAAAACAACCTTAAATTTACTGTATTCATTGAGTTTCCATCAAACATTCAACGAGTGAACATTTATTAATTGTGTGAGCTCAATGGACTTAGCGATAGTTTCGCAATTTTAATAATAGAATTTTGCTTCTGTAATTAATAAACATATATTTTTTTTTTTAACCCCTTTAGTATTCATTTAATGATACATCTTGGGCGAATGGTAAAGATGGAGTTATATCTATTCTATTATGGCGATCCTAACATCTCCGAGTATAATTTCCATTTATACAGGATTTATCTGTCAACTAGAATTACTCTTTCTAATTTAATTCGAATTAGTCGACTTAATTTATTGCGTAATTTTTCCCTGTTCAATTCTAGAAAAACTTTATAAGTAATCACGCAAGATAGCTCCCGGCGTAATTATTGGAAAAAACATCATTAATACACATTGCGTAATGAAGAGCAAGATCCTGGATTTTTTTTTCGTGCTGATCCATGATTTCATCACAAAACGATACGAAATTTTTATTTTTAGCCAACATAAATGATTCATTAAAATAAGCCATGGTGAAGCACTAATATATCAACTCGCATATGACTATTCTAATCTACTTTATTGATTTCTTTTTTTGCTTTTTCACTTTCTTTTTTTTATTCCCTCCTTCCTCTAGCACTTCCCTACTTCCACCATCTCTCAACATCGCATCATTATCGGAATCTGTATAATGGCGTTTCAAATTACGCTGTTCCGAATCAATATTAATTTCCAATGCATATTGAGATATATTATTGATCCATCTCGGAATTTTTTGACTATCCTGTCCTTTGACGGTCTTATAACTTTGAAAAGGAAATTCTTCAAAGATGTTTGGCGGCAAAACGAAATATAGGTGAATAATATTCATGTCGTTTCCCCATCCGAGAAAACGTTTAAGATTATTGAGTCCTTTAACCTACGCGAGCTTAGTTAGCGATACAAGCGATACCAACAAAATGTAATTTCAACTCCATATGTTGACTCTTACCTTCATGCTGTACTTTGTCGAGACGGTCATTTGATATAAGAAACGTTGTTATCAAGGCTAAAAGCATCAATCGATTCGAATGTTTTTGATTTTAGCCTGTTATAATATCCCTTACGTGCTTCCTTCATTGTCATAAACCAGTTACACTCCAGGTTCTTGATATGTTTCTCGATCTCCTCTAAGTTATTATCATTATTCAGACACCGTATCCTAAACATACCGCTCCTTTGCAACTCAAAATGGGCAAAATCTTCGAAAAGGTTACCTCGAAATCCAGAGGCCATTGGATATTCATAACTGCTCATGATGAAATCACGAACGTTCCTCTTGGTTTTATTTTCGTATGCTTGGATCAATTTGTTAGATATCATCGGAGAAGCAAAACGATACACTTTTTTTGTAAATGTTGAATCCACATCGAGATGCACGAGTCCATCACTAATAGTATCTGAACGCATGCCTACCGTATTGATGGAGTTCATGCAACTTTCCAAATCAACTTTATCAATCAGCTCATAGTATTTCTGCTGATACGTCTCATCGTCCCACTTTAAAAGAATTGACCTAGGTATTGAGCCCCACTTTTCCAGCAAGGTCCCGACTAATTCAAATGTGAGCTCTTTACCATCAATATTCTTCTTATTTTTGTATAGGGCAATCCAAAATATGGTTATTTCTTCGAGATCCCAAACTGGCATGAAATATTGAGTAAAACCTGACAGCCTCTTTGTATCTTTCTGGTTCCGGTGATGTGAGAAGGATCTTATAGGCTGAATACCATGTCATAGTATATGCATCAGCGATGTAGAAGTTTTTTTGATTACTCAGCGTCTTGCTAAATTGGCGGATATTCCCATCTTGCAAATTACCTTCCGGTGAGAATTGATAACAATCTTTTTCACCCCTCCAAACTATTGTAGCTTTAGGATACATGTAACGAATATAGAAAAGAATAAATAAGCCAAAGTACGTCTTTCCAATACCAGGCGAACCAGTAATCATGCAACCAGTTCTAGCTGGGCCAATCGGTTTACGATTCTCCTCAATTATTTCGAGTAACTACAAATAACAATTCCTTATGAGGAGCTGTGATCCATATTTCATTTCCTCTCCCATAAAAATAAACCATTCGATAAGCATAACATTCCTCCAAAATCTTCCACCGTCTGTGATGGTAGTTTCACATTAGTGTTCATTCCATTGCAATATAGCATACCATCTGAGTCGGTAATCACACCCTTGTTTAGAAAAACATGATTATCTTCAATCGTAGAATAAGGTTCCAAGTAGTTCAGCTTTCTTTATTTCTTGTGGTAACGGGAAGACTATCCTTGCGCAAAGAAGTTCCTTCCAAATTCAGCTTTGGGCCCAGCTGTGGGATGTAAAGGAAATAATAAAAGGCAATATTGATAATTTTCAATTTCAAGCTTCTTCAGCCACAAGAATATAAAGATTCAGAGATTAGAATATATATTGCCATACTTAGAACTATGTAATAAATATAAATATGAGACACATTAAAAAAATGAGAAAAGCAGTATAGGTTTGGTATATTCGGATGCAATCGTAGTACTTACCAGTCGCATCTACCGCAGGTTGGGTAACCAATCCGCTTAAATATGCAACTGGATAATTCTGGAAGCATCGGATACTACAGGAAAGAAAAGCACAAGATTAAGTAAGTATTCGGTATTATTGGCAAATATGACAGCACGTACAAAGATGAAACATACCATGCGTAGATATTAAAGATTTCAAGTAACCCCGCTTCCTATCATCCGTTGTATAGTCAAGAAGAAAAGTCACAGCAGCATTTATTTTTCTACATTTACAGTGAAGTATTTGCGTAAACTGTTTTTTTCATCTGAAGTGAAACCAAGACGATTAATTTCCTTTCTAAAAGTCGTCAGTGCATCCATACCGTAATGTTTTCTGAAAAAAAATTTTTGGGATATAAAATATTTTTATTGGATTCCAAAATAATCTAAATAATGCTTTATTTGTAATTAACCGGTCTTTTTAAGTAAATAAAATTCTTTATTTGGAAGAATTGAAGAAAGCTTAAGTAGAAATAATTTATGATTGATTTGGTCACGAAAGTTTTGTACAAGATCCGGGTGCTAATTAACCTCTCTAAATGCCTATAACGTGAATAACTCTGATCGGATACCTTCTTATAAATATCAGATCCTTCAAGATTGAATTGGTTAAGGTATGTTAAATTTTTTTTTTTAAAAAAAAAAAAAAAAAAAAAATCTAATTACAATTACTTACATTTTGTAGATACCGGCTTCTTCAATCATTCATCGGATCGTTTCCTATATATAAAAAAATATTTTTTTTAATATGAATTTTTTTAAAATTAACTAACGACATTACTCACCCTTTTGTAGATTACCGGATTCTTCAAGCATTGGATCGTTCGGAGGTAAGTCCTATGAAAAAATAATATTTTAATATTAATTTTTTTTTAATCATTCAATTAAACTAACTAAAGACATTACTTACCCTTTTATAATATCAGATTCTTTGATCATCGGAGGTAAGTCCTATTAAAAAAGAGTTGTTAAATGATTTTTTTTTAAAAAAAAAAAATCTAATTAAAATTTATTTATATTCTTGTAGGTATTGAATCCTAAATTATTATGAGGTAAGACTATTAAAAAAAGAATTTGTTAAAATAAAATCGATCATAAATGGCAACGGTAGCTTCGTAAAATTTTATAAAACTTTATTTCTTTTGAACTTTAAATTTTATGAAAAACAAAATAATATCTACTTATGAATTCTATTCATTTTATATTTCTTTCTTTGTTGAATATTTGCTAATTCGAACTCTTCAGATTTACCTTCTAATATTCGTGCTTCTGCTTCAGCAACACTTGCTTTAATAGAACGTTCTTTTAATGCTTTTCTTTCTTCAATTTCCAGTTTAAGTAACTCATCATTTCATTCCTTATATTCATTTTCTAAAAAGATGACAACTTCTTGATTATTTCTTTTTGGCGGATTTTGCTTTTTTCTCTGGTGGATTTTTTGAATCAGTGTTATTTTTAGATTATACACATTATTAAATAATATACATTTTACCTACTTAATTTTGTGTGTCAAAGCTGTTTGCATTCTTTTGATTTCACTTCTATCCTGATGGGTATTAGGAATATCACTTTTATTATGAACTTTAATTGTATTATAACATCTTTCATATCATTTGCCTCTTATAAATTTAAAATTATTTCTAATTAATGATATTTAACTTTAAATTTAAGAATAAAAACTAACCTTAAATAGCTGATAATAATTCTAATTGTTTTCTTTCTCAATTTACTATAACATATACTACTTTAGCATTATTTGTGTTAGTTCCATATTTACACCAATTCTCATGATCAACTTAACATTTGAAATAAATTGATTTAAAGAAGCCAAAACATATGGTTATTGATAATAAAACAACCAATCTAAAAATAATTATTTTAATAATTTTTTTTAGAATTATATTGGTAAAATTTTCAGGAAAATAAACATCAATAATTATCACTTTATCACAAATTATCATGTTAAAAAATTGATTATTAACAAATTAAAATAATTAACAAAAATTACCTCTGATATATAATGTAATTAAACACTATAAAAATTTAATAAGAATAATAATTGAGATAATTGATGATGATTTAAGATATTGATATTTATCATAAATAATCATTAAGATATTTAGTGATTGTTTACAATATTGATATTTATCATAAATAATCATCAAGTTAATTAATAATATTGATTATTAATACAAATTATTCTCAAGTTATTTATAATATTAATAATTAACAAAATAATTTAGAAGGTTTTTACTTTATTGATAATACTTAATAAAATAATTTATAATTTTATCATATAATTTATTATTTTATATTAAGTCACTTAAAATTATTATATAAAATTTATCAATATTTTAACCATTTATTTTATATTTTTAGTAGTTTTTTTATCTTTTCATAATAATTTTAATTTTTATAGTATAATATTTATAAAATTATCAATATAATACAAATTTGATTAATTCATAAATAGAGATAATTAATATTTAAAATATTATATTATTTTATATCTCTTTTATTTTATTGTCAGTTAATTTAAACTTTAAAAAATATTTTAATATAATAATTTATAATTTTTATAATTTATTATAAATAAGATTTCTAGATAAAACCTAAAGATTTTACAAGTCATCTAAATAGAAAAACTATATTAAAACTTATAAAAATGCGAAACTATATCAAAATCTTAGTAAAAATTTAGAAAAACTATAGTTTAGACATTTTGTCAAATTTAAAATGAATTTAGATAAACAACCTTAATTATAAATATATTATCTATTAAATAAAGGATATGTTACTAAAAAATAATTTAATTAGTAATAATTTACAATTAAACTTATATTTAATAAAGCTTAATAAAATTTAACCATAATAAATATATATATATTATAAAATTCACTTTCTTTAGAAATTTGAAGTTAATTTTTTTATATTTCTTTAAATTTAAAAATTTATACAATAATATTTTTTATAATTTCTTAAAATTAAAAATAAAGATTTCTTTTATTTTGAGAAAAAATAACATAAAGCATAGCAATTAGTATAATATACTTGAATTTTTTAATTTTTTTTGATAGAAAAGTAAAGGTATTTACAAAAAAAAAAAAATTAATAATTAAAAATAGATTTAGTAAATTACTTCTTTCTAAGTTCAGATGCTATAATTTAAAATAATATATATATAGTATTTTTTATTTTAGTTAACTTACTTTTTATCAAATTCAAAAACTACATTTTAAAAAAACAGGTTAGTATTTTTTAAAAAAATCACTATACAATTATACTATTTTTATCTAATTTTTTTTAGATTCAAAATTTGCTTATTTTATTTTCTTTAGATCTGAAATTTATATTTCAAAATAAAAGTTTATAAGTATTTTTTTTAAATTATTAATTGCATTACACTTCATCTAATTTACTTTTTATTCTATTTTTTTTTTAGAAAAAAAAGAAGTAATTTTTAAATTATTGTATCACTTAATTATTATATTTAACTTACCTTTTTTACTTTAAATACAGAATCTATATTTCAAAAAAAAATTAGCATTAGTAATTTTTTATAAGTCACTATTAGTTTTTAACTTTTACTTTTTTTTTTAAATTTAAATTCTGCATTTTAAAAAAATAGTTAATATATATTTTTAAATATTTGCTATATCATTTTTCTTTCAAGTTTGAAGTTAATATTTAAAAATTTTAATATTTTTTTAAAATTAATATATTATATTTATTTACTTTTATTTTATTTCTTTAAATCTGAAGTCTATTTATAAAAAAAAATTAGTATTTTTTATAAATAACTACATTGTGTATCTTATTTAACTTACTTTTACCTTTTTTTTAGATTTAGAGTCTAAATTTCAAATAAAAAAGGTTAGTTTTTTTTTTAAATTACTGCTTTAAATTACTTACTTTTATTTTTTTAGATCTAAAATCTATATTTCAAACAAAAAAATTAAAAATTATTTTTAAATATTTATTATATTACTAAGTTAATTAACTTTTACTTTTTTCTTTTTTTTAAAATTTAAAATCACATTTCAAAAAAAAAAGTTAATATATTTAAATATTTATCATATATACCAATTTATCTAACTTATTTTTTCATTTTTTTAGATTTAGAATCTGCATTTCAGAAAAATATGTTAGCATATACAAGTTTATTTAACTTACTTTTACCTTTTTTTCTTTTAGGTCTAATATAATAAAATTTATCTTTTAAATAAAAAAATTAGTATTTCTTTTTATTATTGCATTATATTTTATATTTTACAATAAAAATTAATAATTAAAATTTACAAAATAGAAAGAAAATAAATTTTGTATAAGTTGTAATTATATATTATAATTGGCATAATAATACAGTAAATTTTTCAAAAAATTTAAGTAAAAAACACTGTTATAAGTAAAGTCATAGTTTAAAGTATTTGATATTTTTGTAAAATTTTATTTGTAGATTTTCTAATATATTTTTTAATAGATTTTATAATATATTTAATAAAATAAAACTATTTTAATTAATAATAAATTAAAATTACACTATTTATTTAATATTATTTAATACTATTTAACTTTATTGATAGATTATATGTAAAATTTTTATCAATAATTATCTTTCTGAAAATTTTGTTAATATATATATTTAATTAAATAAATAATTTTATACCTTTAATTTATTATCTTTAATTTCATTTATTTTAAAAACTTGTTCTTTACTAGATATATCAAAAATTTGTCTTATTAAATTTTTTGTATTCATAATAAATGCAAATTTTTAAAAATAATAAAAAATAATAATAGTAAATTAGAATTAATAAATAAATTAATTAATTAATAAATTTATAATACTTTTCAAAATGAATACAATATAATTTATAAATATAGATTAAGTAAGATTTTCAATCTTTACTAGAGTCTAAATCATAAAGTGCTAAACTTAAACCCTTAACTTATACAGAATATAAATCAGCTAGAATATATCTAACATTTTATTTTGAATATGTTAAAATTAAATAAATTAATCACTTACTTTATGAATTATTTGAAATAAAAATAAGAATAATCTATAATATCCTTCAACTGTAAAAATATTTATAAAAACTTAATAAAATAATAAAACTTAAAGTAAAAGTTAATAT